GAAGCAAACCATCTCAAAGATGAGGAGTCTGAACGGCTTAAGGATAAGATGAAATCTCTCTCTCTTAATTCTTCTAAAGCTAACCTTGTGGAATCTTCTAGTACCTTTGTAAAAGACAGGTTTAAAGGAAAATAGAAGAAATGACATGTGAAGAAGCAGAATTACTTCACTAAGCCAGAAGGCCATATTCAAAAGTCAAAAGGACCTTGCTACGTCTGCGGCAAAATTGGTCACAAGGCTTTTCAGTGCAACCAGAGACAAGGACAAAGCTCAAAAAATGGAGGAAAAGCTCCAGCCCAAACCAACCTTATTGAGGGTGGTGATGTCATTGTTGCTGTGGTTGTTGAGGCAAACATGGTGGCTAACAAGATTGACTGGATACTGGACACAGGCGATACAAGGCATATTTGCGCCAATAAATAGTTGTTTCACGACTTTGAGGAATCTGCTGATGGCGAGTATGTCTACATGGGTAACTCCACTACAGCTGAAGTTATGGGTAAAGGAAAAATTCTCCTTAAGCTAACTTCTGAAAATTTTTTAGCCTTGAACAATGTTCTGTATGTACCCTCCCTTCGTAGAAACTTAGTTTCTGGTGCGCTTCTCAACAAAGCAGGTCTTAAACTTTTTTTTGAATCTGATAAAGTTATTATTTCTCGTTGGGGAGACTTTGTTGGGAAGGGTTACCTTAGTGGGGGTTTATTTGTACTAAACATCGCTCAAGAGATTACTAATAATGCTAGTACTTTCAATTCTGCTTATATTGCTGAGTCTATTGATTTGTGGCATGGTAACTAGGGCATGTTAATATTGCTTCTATTAAAAGACTTAGAAAAATGGATTCCTGCAGTTAATGTTGATAATTTTTCTAAGTGTCCTGTTTGTGTAAAAGCAAAACATACCAAAAAGTCTTTTAAGAATGTAACTAGTAGAAAAACAAAATTGCTTGAACTAGTACATTCAGACTTAGCAGATTTCAAAAACACTGTTAGCAAAGGTAGAAAGAAATCACCTTTGTATATCTTCTTAAGTCAAAAGATGAAGCTGAAAGCATGTTTTTAAAATACAAGGCAGAAGTAGAGAATCAATTAGATTCTTAAGTCAAAAGATGAAGCTGAAAGCATGTTTTTAAAATACAAAGCAGAAGTAGAGAATCAATTAGATAGAAAAATCAAGAGATTTAGGTCTGACAGGGCCGGTGAATATAGTACTAATAATCTAGAAGCCTTTTGTGAGTAAAATGGTATTATACATGAGATTAGTGCTCCCTATACTCCCTAACAAAATGGTGTAGCCGAACGGATAAATAGAACCCTTAAGGAAATGATGAACTTTATGCTTTTGAGTTCGGGTTTATCTGATAATATGTGGGGGGAAGCTGTTTTATCTGCATACTATGCTCTTAATAAAGTTCCTCATAAGAAGTTAGATAAGACTTCATATGAGTTATGGAAAGGGTTTGCCTCTAACTTAAAATTTTTGAAAGTATGGGGGTGTTTGGCTAAGGTTGGTATACTTGATTTTAAACAAGTAACTGTTGGACCCAAGACTTTTAATGCTATTTTCATTGGTTATGCTCAAAATAGTGCTGCATATGGATTTATGTCTTTGAATGATAGTTCTATTTGTGAATCTAGAGATGCAAAACTTTTTGAGCATGTTTTTCTATTAAAAAATAATGTGCCTAGTGATGTGACTAATAATACTTCTACATTTATGCCTGTTAAATCTCACATTGTGCCTTCTTCTAGTGTTACTACTAATGAGCATGAAAATAACCTTAGAAGAAGCAAAAGGCGTAGAATTGAAGCTAGCTTTGGTCCTGACTTTATTACTACTTTCTTGACTGAACATGTTGATCTTGATATTTTGAGTGATGAATTAGTGTCAATCTATTTAATCGAAGAAGACCCCAAGACATATAGTGAAGCAATGAGGTCAATAGATGCTAGTTTTTGGAAAGAGGCCATTAAAAGTGAATTAAACTCTATAGTTTCTAATCATACTTGGGACTTGTCTGATTTGCCTAAAGGTTGTAAACCTATAAGTAGCAAGTAGATATTTAAGAAGAAATTGAGACCTGACCGTACAATTGAGAAATATAAGGCTCGACTTGTTATTAGGAATTTTAATCAAAAGAAAGACATTGATTACTTTGACACTTATTCTCCTATGACTAAGATAGCGACTATTAGAGCTCTTGTTGCTGTAGCTGCTATTCATAATTTGGTAATACATCAAATGGATGTTAAAATGGCTTTCCTAAATGGTGATTTAGAGGAAGAGATCTATATGTCTCAACCTGAGGGATTTATGATCCAAGGACAGGAGAATAAAGTATGCAAATTAAGAAAGTCTTTGTATGTCTAAAGCATGTACCTAAACAATGGTATGAAAAGTTTAATAACATATTAGTGGATAATGGTTTTGTTGTTAATGCATCTGATACTTGTGTTTATTCCAAGATGATAGGATCATGTTGTGTTATTATATGTTTGTATGTGGATGACATGTTAATCTTTGGCCCTAATGTGAATGTTATTAATGAGACTAAGAATTTTTTGTCTTCTAAATTTGAAATGAAAGATCTTGGAGAAGCAGATGTGATTTTAAGGGTTAAAATCAAAAGAACTTCTAATGGTTTTTCATTGTCTCGGTCTCATTATATTGAGAAAATGTTGAAAAGGTTTAATTATTTTGATGTAGCACCTGTGAGAACTCCTTATGATTCTAGCATACACTTAAAAAAGAATAAGGAATCTAGTATTTCTCAAACTGAGTATGCTAAGATAATTGGTAGTGTAATATTTTTCATGAATTATATACGACCTGATATTGCTTATGTTGTTAGTAGATTGAGTGGATATACTCACAACCCTAGTAGTGAACACTGGAATGCTCTTCATCGTTTGCTAAGATATTTGAGAGTTACTATGGATTGGTGTTTGCATTTTAATAAATTTCCTGCTATTTTAGAAGGATTTTGTGATGCAAACTGGGTTACTGACAATGATGAAGTTAGCTCCACTAGTGGCTATGTGTTCACTTTGGGTGCAGGTGCCATTTCATGGAAGTCTTCAAAATAGACTTGTATAGCACGATCTACTATGGAATCTGAATTCATTGCTCTTGAGTTGGTAGGGCAAGAAGCCAAGTGGTTGAGAAACTTATTGGCAGACATGCCTTTATGGGGAAGACAAGCTTCACCAGTTTCTCTATATTGTGACTCACAGGCAACAATTGAAATTGCCAAAAACAGTGTGTACAATGGAAAAAGAAGACATATCCGCATTAGACATGGTGCGGTAAAACAGTTGTTGAAACATGGTGTTATTTTCTTGGAATAGTTAAGATCCGAAAGAAATTTGGCGGATCCTTTAACCAAGGGTTTGGCAAGAGAGTTATCCTTGAAACGTCGAAGGGGATGGAGCTACCCATGGATTGAGGAAGTATGGTGGATACCCGTTTGTGGTCAAACGAAGCCATATGAGACCTCAATATGCACTACAATTCCTATCCCTATGGCGTGTGGTAGTGCTTTATAAGGTTGAGCTTATTTTGCCCTTAATGATTCCATAGCCTTAAGGTAGTCTATGTGTAGATAGACTTGATGGAATCACCTACGTGAGTGTAAAGGTGCGGTCGCCTTTTATGAAAGACTTGAGATGCCTTTCTAGAGCACTCATGAGACCCAATGTATGTGCATGACCATAAAAGCACTTTGTTAGTACCGCAGAATTTGCATAAAATTAAGGATATAGTATGTGTTGTGGGGGTCTCAGCTAATGTCCATTCAGTTCATGAGTACTTCACTTTGTGAATGTTAGTTGTCGCCTCATTTCACTATGTGTCAATTCTAATTGAAAGATATTGACACTTAAGTACATGTTCCTTTTTTTGCTCAGAAGTGTTCTATTTTTGTCTTTGCATTAGTGGGAGATTGTTGGAATTATTCATAATGCAAAGTCAAAAAAAAATTTCTTTTTGAAATTCCATTTACAACCAATAGCCATGAGTTTTTTTTAATATCTATTTCCAAATGGCCTCTTGCATGAAGCCTTAAAGCCAAGTGTTGAATGACTTTGACAAATGGCTATGCAAATCTACCATATGTCTTCATGCATGGAAGACAAGATACACTTGTCAATATTGGAGCCAAGTGGACTAACATAATGGGACAAGTGTCAAAAGTCTCTCAACACTTGTCATACATGCAACCTTCTTAATTTCCTATAAATAGGTTATGAATTGGCCATCATAATTACTTAATTCTTAACCAAGAATTATTTAGCTAATCATTCCTTTCTTCCTAGTCTTTTTTTTGTGAATTATCCAACACATAAAATACCTTCATCTTCTCTTCTTCCTGGGCAACTGTTTTGTGCAAATTCTAAACTTCCAGCCACGAGTGCACGTGTTTGGAGGTGTTGTGGAACCTTGAAGAGCGACCGGCCTTAATGATTTGTATCCAATCGGGCCGAAATCGCTTTCAAGGCAGTGGCTTGCCACGATACAGTATTTTGATAAGTTGTAGTCTTCTTTCCTTGTTGTTCTTGGTCAATATTATCTACTGATTCTCCCTACAATTGCAAGAAAGAGATATTGACAATTTGACATTAGAAAATAATTAATTATCGTGATTGGTTGTCATACGAGTTGTTTCATTTATCATTTTTTATGCTATTGTAACATAGGTGAATTGATTGTCTATATTTCTTAGTAAATCATTCATCTTAAGATATTGAAACTACTTTATTCAAGTAATTAAATATATTGTCGGCATTGTTACTTTCGATCTTCATTAATAAAAATATCCTTGGCTTTTTAAAAGTCGAATCGGAGTATGAATTGCTTGATGACGCGGGCTTATTTGGGATCCGGTGCGTTCAATTGAGGCAACCCACAATTTATTGTTTTCGAAAAACATAAAAAATGAGAAAAAACAAAATACAAAAAGATTTTTGTGTAAAATATTCGGAACCCCACATATTCCCCAAACCCCTAACCCTTTCAATAAATAAAAAATTTCCAAACCCCTTTCCCCTCAATTCTCGCTCCCCGACTCCTCCTCTCCCTCGCGTTCGCTGAATGTCGGCACCACCACCGCCTCTCCCGTACCTGCCGGCGACAGGTAAGCCTCCTCCGCCTCTTCTCTTCCCCTTTTCCCTGTCTCTCTTCTCCTCTGCTTCTACCCGTGTCCCCTACCCCTGCGTCCCTTTCCCTCTTTCGCCCAGGGTTCCGCTTGTTGTCTAATCAGAAAAGAAATTGCAAAGGGCATTTCGTTAGGGTTTTTTGGCCCTTTTCCGTTTAAAAAATTAGTTGTTTTGTGGTGTTGTTGTAAGTGAAAATGATTGAAAGACTTGGTAGGCGTTTGGACATAAGAATTGTAAAATTTGAAAAAATGGTGAAAATTTCTTTCTAGTGAAAATGGTATTTGAAATTTAGAGTTGTGTTTGGACATAAATTTCAGTTTGGGTTGTTTTTGAAGTTTTGTGAGTGAAATTTTTAAAAATAACTTTTTGCATTTATTCAAATTTTCGAAAATTTCCAAAATGCATGAAAATTGGAAATGTTACGAACAAACGCCAATTTCAATAAAAAGTGAATTTTTTTTGAAAAAATCTTCCATCAAATTTTATGTCCAAACGGGCACTTAGTTTTATATGTAAAGTTTAGTTTTTTATGCCTTTGTTGGGGTGTTTTATGGTCCCCATGGCCATTTTCTTGTCTTTTAGAGCTTCTTTATCATATTTTTTCTGATTGTTGTTGTTGTGTAGTTACTGTTGTGATCTTCTTTGTTCCTTTTTTTAGGTTCCTTTGCATGTGAAAGTTATTGAAGACGATGAAAAAGTTGACCTGGTTTTCCACTGTATGGGTAACTAGGTAATTTCACTTGAACTTGTATATAATGAGAATCTGCTGCATGTTTTGCCCGGTTATGAATTTGGTTTTGTTTGATATGATGTTGTTTTGCTGAGTTTACAAAGAACTTAGGGCTTACAAAGTGAAACGGCTTTTAGTAACTAGACCTTCTGGAAGATATTACTTGGTAACAGATGATGGTATGAGGACCTTACATTACTTATTCAGTAAGGAGTTTAGGGTTATAAATTTCTTTGTTTGTAGTGCTAGGATAAGGAAAATGTGAATTCATGTATGACTGATCTTTAACAAGCATAACGCGCTTTATGGTTATTTCAGCTTGAAGTATCAATGAGCTTGGAGAAATATTTTCATAAAGTACCTTCCCAACTCCAATCTAATTGTTCATATACTCTAGCTTGAAATAGGAAACCATTTTCTTACACTGTGTCAAATGTATTCTCCTATGTGTCTATGAAGTTACCAGTTAGCATATTTGTCCTACTTCATCTTCTTTAGTTTACTGCTGGAAATGACAGCTTTTTTCACTCTTTTGTCTGATATCTCAGGTTAATTTAGAGGTTTTAAGGTGACTTCATTGACATTTCTCTTTCTTTTACCTCAAAGAATGGGACATTTACAAAATCTTAATTTCGGTGAGGACGAATTCATTACGCACGAAATAGAATAGTTAAAATATCAATTCGAAATTCCCTCAACATATGCCAAGACAAAACACAACGATATACTAATACTACATCAACACTCCTTTTCTATCAAGCCACTTCAACTTTCAAAACAATTTAGCCAAAGATATGGTTTGAATAAAGTTGTGTGAAGGTCAAAAAGGATTGTAATCATGTACTAATACTAGTTAATTTGAAGACAACTTCTGCTTTAGTTGATGCATACTGAAAGTTTGACTGCCCAATTAGTGATTTGATACTTTCATAAACTTCATAGATCGATGCCTCAATTATGATTTTCAGAAGAACCGGAGATTGATAAAGGCAAGAATTATTCTTTACTTGGTCAATTTTAAACATTGAAAATGAAAAACCCTAGTTTAAACCACTATTTAATGAATCACTAAATTTGATGGAGATTGTTGCTCCCAAATGCACACGCAAGTATACGCGGTTAACAAGTAATAAAGTGATAATATCGTACCCACCATTAATTTAAGTCCACCAGATTCTGATTATTCGGTCAGCATAGCAGTTGTTTAGTTCAAATCAATCTATGCGAAATGTTAGTTATTTACTCGCAATTGGATACTTTCATTGCAGGGGTTGAATCCACCACAAGGACCCATATAATATTACTAACGAGGGGGTGAATCCAGGCACTCATTAGATTTTGATGTTATCAAGAACACTCCTCTTTGTGTTACTTATTTGCGTGTTTAATTAGTAATGGGTGTTGTTATCCTTTATGCGATATTTGTATGTGTCTTTGTGGTGGATTCACCCCTGCAATGAAGGTATCCAATTGTGAGTAAATCTACTAACATTTTACATTGATTGAATTGAACTAAACAACCGCTATTTTGGCCAAATAATCAGAATTCGGTGGATTGAAAAATAATCGTGGGTTCGACACTCTATTCATCACTTTATTACTTGTTGATCGTGTATACTTGCGTATGCATTTGGAAGCAACAATCTCCTTCAAATTTAGTGACTCATCTAGTAGTGGTTTAAACTAGGGTTTGTCGTTTTCAGTGTTCTAAATTCACCGAGTAAAGAATAATTTTTGCCTTTACTATAGTCTTCAGTTATTCTGAGAATCATAATTGAGGTATTGCTCTATGAAGATTATGAAAGTATCAAATCACTAATTGAGCGGTCAAAATTTCAGTATGCATCACCTAAAGCAGAAATTGTCTTCAAATTAACTAGTACTAGTATATCATTACAATCCTCTTTGATCTTCATCGAGCTTTACTCAAACCATGTCTTTGGCCAAATTGTTTTCGAAGTTGAAGTAACTTGATAGAAAAAGAGTATTGATGTATTATTAGTATATCGTTGTGTTTTGCCTTGCCATATGTTGAGGGAATTTAGGATTGTTGTTTTCATTATTCTGTTTCGTGCATAATGAATTAGTCCTCACCAAAGTTAAAGACTTTGGAATTGATGCCGTGGTTTATTTTAAGCTTTATAGTAAGTTGTGTGTTAATTTTCTTATTTTGTGGTCACTAATATATTTTTTTATATCAAACAATAGATGTGTCACTAAGTATTCCTGTTTCGTATTGTGTCAATCAACAAAATTTTATTTTATTCATCATTTGCACAAATGTAAATTTTGCTTGCTGTTTTATCTTTTTGTTCTTTTTGGTGTATTGTTTTGAAATGTACCACTAGTTGTCTGAAGTATTATACCAAACCCGAAAATTTAATCTCTTTTACTTTGGTGTAGATTGCACATCAATTATTCAAATGATCAGTGACAGATTTTTGATTTATGCACCAATAGTATCCAGCACAAAAGCCATTACTTTAGGAAGAAAGAGCTTAAGAAGTAAATTCCGGAGGAAAAAAATGACCATCTTATCAAATTTATAGAGGATTTGTGCTAAATATCAAATAAAACAATTACCTAATAACCTCTTTGTGCCTGTTACTAGAAAGCTTAATGCATTCCAAAAAATTAGCTTACAAATATATATATACATATTATGTTTTCATGTCGATGAACTGACAAGCCTGCAAAATGTCCATTTCTTGTTCTCGTGATCGTTGGATGATGATTTTAAGAGTGAAGTTATCTTCTTCTCATCCGGCCTTTTGGTGTATCTCTGTCCCTCAAGTATCTTACAAGCCTATTATAGCAATCATTATTTGGAAACCTTTTCTCTTGTTATAAAACTGAATTGAATCTTGAGTAGCTCAGCAGTTTTACTTCCAATGGTAAGTAATTAACTTTCTTTTGGCTTCCTACGAGTAGAAAAGGTAGATGAGGATACTGAATGATAAATCCATACACCTCTTGGAAATACTCAATGATTGATTTCATGTTCTTTCCTCATCAACAGGAAACTTGCAATGAGCATGAGAAATGCAAATCATTAAGAGCTACAAGAATGAAAAAGGAAAGTAAAACTGAGCAATATGAAACTAAAAGTACATTAGCTCCCTTTCATAAACCCGGAAATTCATTATTTCCTTCGAATATATCCCCCGTGTGTAACTTTAACTTTGATTAACGCGCAAGTGATCAATCAGCTTTTATCTAAAGCAGTAGATTTTGGCATCAAGGGTATCAAGGTCTTGAGTCCAAGGAGACAGTCAGATTTTTTTGCTTAAAGAGCATTGCGAATGATGAATAATCTGGGAAATCCTTAAGAGAGCATTGAGAATAATGAATAATGTGGAAAAGAACGCTTTTTCTAGACTCTAAACATATGCTGCTTTATGGTTGATCTTCTTAAGAAAGTTAAGGACAACTAATTTGATTCATTTGTGTAACCTGTACCTTTACTCGATGTGCATCTAACGGTGGCCGTGAGCTAAATCTTTTGCCAAAACTTGACCAACAAATTCAACAACTGGACCAACAAATTCAACAACTGGGATGGTTCAATGAAAGCTGTTGTTGACATGTCTGTTTGATAAAAATAAATAAATAAATAAGTTGTAGTCGGATAAATAAAGTTGGAAAATTTCAATGTTTACAGAATTTATGATTTGTCCTTTCAATATTGATTGACAATCCCATCTGAGCAGGTTTCATGCTCTGGTAAAATCCCTTCCTAGACGGAGGCACATCTAGTATTTCAAGAGGATAGGTGCACTATTGTGTAGAGGTGGATCTAGAAGACCGTCCGAAGTGGGATTTGAACTACCAATTTTACTCGTAGAGGTGCACCCAATAATTATTGCACTACAAGACTCTTTGAGCATGAGTGCACACTCATATATTTAAGTTTCTTTGAAGAAATATTATATTACTCCATTATACATGGTTTAGGGAGAGGAGTATGAGGTCATGTGAACCCATATCTTATGACCTAGATACACCCCTGCTCCAAGACTGTAAGCCATTGCCTAGTGTCTGGTTTTTTGATATTAGGAGAATAGAAGAATCTCCCAACTGATATGTACCTAAATGAACAAGTGAAGAACTAAATAAAGGTAGATAAGTTGATTTAGTTACAGAAAAATACCATGGCACTTAGATAGCAACCAAATTGGGCTCGGCTTGAGGTCATTATATTGTAACAAAGCTAGGTTGAGCGTGGCTCCGACTCAGTACTAAAGAAAGCTGTTGAGCTCCTAATTTCAGTGCAACTCACAGTCACACACCAATGTGGTTATGTCACCCTCCCCTTCTTATTGTCCAATTGATTTTCCCAGTTGGTGACACCTTAAAATACTCTAAAGATCAAGATACACCAGGGAGGTTAGGTCACACGATAACCGCGTGTCCAAAGACTTTTCATACTACATTAATAGCAAAAAATTAGCTTCACCAAGAACCCGTAGTGTTCTCCCTTATATAATTACCACAATGATGACCATTATTATTTTGTCCCTCTACGTCCACATTTATACATTCAACCGCTTGTCTTTCAGATCGAATCTCTTTGAGCAATATACTTTGAGGAAAAAGTAAGCTAATTTAAATGCCAAATCCAAGAGAATCAAAGTAGGAAGTAGAAATACCCGTCTCTTGAGAAATGGAACAACACATGATGTGATTAGGTACACAACATTTATGTTATCAGGATGCTATGGGCCATAAAGTACGAGGAAATTAGTTAAAAGGGGATCTTTAAAAATGAATGGAGGTATATATAACCCTCTGTATACATGGGCGATCGTAACATATTGAGACGGTCTGTTATTTTTCTAGGGGGTCATTTATTACTTTCACTATAATTTACAACACTGGAGCACCGGTGCACCCCAGTCAATGGCCAAAAAGATACTTTAATAATTGAGATTCTCATGTTTAACTGCAATATTTCTTGATACTCCTCACCCAAATTAGCAAACCAATGCAAAAGAGGAGGCTCACTTTTAATGATGTCTAGAGCCCTATGGACCACTGTGCGATGCAAGTTAAATTTATCAGCTGTGACCACTAATATGCCGTGTAAGACTTCTAGATCAAGATTTTCAACAGGAGGAGAACCTGCTGCTTGCCTCCGGTGAGCCTTCCTCGCAGAAGTTCTAGGTTGTTCTTCTCGAGTCCTCTTCCCACCATCGCTGCCTGACATGGGATATGAAGAAATGCCACTAGGTCCACCTGCGTCATGCTCGTATGACATAGATGGCTTGCAAGGACTCATAGGATTCGATGTATTATACATGAAAGGAACACCTGCTTCGTTCCTCCCTGACCAACTGGGTTTGAAACCTGTTGGTGAAAAAGGAAGATCTGCTTGGTTCCTCCCTGACGGACTAGCATTGAAAGTCCCATCGGGTGGGATGAAAGGACTGAAAGGCACAACTGGTTGGGGCCAAAATGGACTGCTCGGGCCCAGCTGAATGCCAACTATGATTGGGCGCGGAAGGCACAGCTGAATGCCAACTATGATTGGGCGTGGAAGGCCCAGCTCCTTGCCACTCTGACATATGATGGACAGAAGAAGGTTTTGTGCTTGGATGCCAAGCTGCTTCTTTCCATTTGGGAAGCAATAAAACAAAGATTTGGCCTCGGGGCTCGGAAGTCCCGCCTGTAGTGCTGGCAAAATGAGCCAATATTTTGTCAACCCACCCAAGCCGCCCATATTTTAGTGGGTTTGATAAGTGATATTTAAGTTGGGTAAAATTTGGGCTTCAATTCGTACAAATATGGGTTAATCTAGTGGGGTATCTTCTAACTTTTTCTCACTCAAAATACATGATATTATTTTTTATACTGAAAATGCTATAAAGGTATTCCAACTCCTCTTCCTTCGTATGTTTCTTCTCACTTTAGTTGATTATGTGAGTATTTTTTTCTATTTTTTCCCTTCTAAACGTTGTAAGTACTGTTTACTATTGTTTAGCGTCCTTGTTCTTTCTAGATACATACTTGAATACCAAAAATAGTTTAAGCAGTAGAAGCAAATTTGTATAGTTTTTCATTTGGTCTTGAAGAGCACATGTTAAGAAAGAGTATTTTTTTTCCTTCTTGTAATATGTCACTTCCTATAAAGAGGTACTCAAGAGTAATTACTCAATTTTTTCATGTTTGGTTTGCTTAAATGTTTTGGAAATTATTTTTCTCATGAACCTATTTTTCTCCAATAGGAAGAAAATATTTTCCTTATCAAGAGAAGGGAAAATATTATTCAAAACTCTTTTTCAATCTTCCCACTCTATTCGCCATCCCCACTAACCCACCCCCTACACCNTTTTCATTTCAACAAGATGAGTATTTTCTTTTCATAATGTAGAAAAAGTATTTTCTCTTTCAATCAAAAGAATAGTATTTTCTTTTTAGTAATGGAGCACATATTTCAACGTTGAATTTGTACAGAGTCATGTATTATTAGTAATTTTTTTGAATATAAATAGTATCTTTCTATTTATAGTATATATATTTTGAATTTGTTTAGTTTTATATTGGATTGCAGACATATATGAACAAAGTAAAAAATGCACATAGTCATATATTATTAGTGATATTGCTTGATGTGCATTAAGTACATTTTCTTCCCAAAATGAAAATTGTCATAATTTGTTGAAGAGTAATTTAAGTTTACGATATGATAGTCAAATTTGAATAAATTTAATGAAGGAGAGTATATATTGCTCCAGTTAAGCTTATATCACTAAATAATATGAGTAAAAGAAAAATTATAAATTGCAATTGAAAAAATATTACACTTACATAATATGGGTTAACACATATCCAATCCGTCCATTTGACACCCAACTTGTTTTTGACCCGCATGAAATATGGGGGGGGGGGGGGGATTGAGACCCAAACCATTTTTGCTCAATCTATTTTTAACCTGCCCAAATTCGATCCAACCCGCCCATTTGCCACTACTAGCCACTTGCTTCTCCCCCCACTGACATAAACTGATGATGCTTAGGATTGACCCTCACACCTGTTTCTTCCCTTCCTGCCATAGATTGAGTCTGCCTACAATTGGATTTGCAACCGGCTATGAATTTCAACTCTTAGAAAAAGGTCGTAGTTCGAATGTCTAAATGAAATCAAAATTATATCCGCCAAAATCTCCATCTAAATGAATATCCACAATTTAGTGTATTCACAACAAGTGTATTTTTCTTTTGGGTGAGATAATAATTTGGTATGACGTTCATAATCTTTGTTGGATGCGATATTTAATATGAGTATTGTAATGAATCAATTTTGGCGGATTTAATTTTGTTTTCATTTAGACATTCTAACTATGACCTTTTCTAATTGAGTACTTGAACACACGATAAAGTGTTCCTATTAGATATTACCAGCTAAATTGTTTCTAAAGTGTTCCTCTCGTAATTTTCCCCTTAGCCTCCAAATAAGCCAACTCATACCATATAATAAGTAATTAGAAACGCTCTTTTTATATTAGTCGTTTAAGCTTTTAAATGAGATAGTCACACAATTCAGTATTACAAAAGGTTTGACATAGGTAATTGATAATGGAACACCAACATAAACAGTTGGTGTAGCGGGTGTAGGAGCATCAACAACAACATTAGCCATGTCATTTTCCATAATAACAACGTGGCACTATCCTTAAGATTGTTGTATAAATATTAGATTATGGAGAATATATTCATAATCTAATTTAGCTTGAGGCGTGTCAAGGACACTGTCCTTAAGGATATTTCGCCCATACCGTGATAAATGAAATTAAGCTTATCCCCCAGGATTCAACAAGCTCTTCTAGTATAACTAGGAGCAGAAACAACAAAAATTAACAAAATAAAACCTAACACTGAAAAAAATTTATGGTAGAAGTTTTTACTCTCTGTTTTTTCCGCACCTCAAAGCGAAAAAGAACTTGGAATATATAGATAAGAAAACAACCATCGCATCAGATGGCTAGCTTAAAGCTCCAACGTATATGGCATTAAAGGCCTAACAAATAATGAGAGGCTAATGACTATTACAAAATAAAATCTTTAACGTTTTGTAACTTTTTAAAGCCATTCAAGACAGTGGTTTCAAAAAAGAATTTAAAGGCTACGAACCTTAATAAAAGGTTTGTTATAATATTATAATAGTGCTTATTAATCATGCCTAGTAAAAGATAAAGAATATATTATAATTTTCAGTTATAGATATTAAAAAATATTCTATTGATTGGTCTAATAAAGACCTATTAAAAGAATGGATCTAAACATCAATTTAAATATTCTTTTTGAGATATTAATTTGTTTTAACAAAGCTAAAGGTTACAGTTTGCAAAGATTCCCATGGGCTTTTATGGTAAGTGTGAATTATTTTTGCTGAGATAGATATTGAATTGCTCATGACATGAATTCGTAAAAATTGTACGAGGCAC